TTCCTCAGCTTTATTTTGAACCATAGTTTGTAAAAATGGAGCAAGAAATAAGGAAGTTATAAGAGTTTTTCATCAGGATGACACCTCACAGTCCATTGACATCCATTCATTTTGTTGAGGCTCCTCAATGATAACAGAGCTCCAGTGTGTGCACGTCAATGTAGCTAGCAATGCGCTAGCCACGCCCAATCCAGTAATATATATCAATGGTCAGATCAGTGTATCCTGGACTTGTCAAGTGTTTACTTTTATTTGCCAATGAACCCTCTCTGTGTGTGACACTCTGAATGTTGTAATGTGGGCAGACACATAAATGCACCTATTGCTGGTTTGCTGTGACACAAAATTTCCAGTATCTTGCAAAGGAGTTGACCAGTCATGACGTGGCTGATAAATAATGAGAATACACAAATCTTAGTAAGAGGTGGACTATATCACAGTTTCTGTTCAAATCACAGAAAAAAATTGACAAGACTTGTTTTTTATATATGTCAAATGATCAAATTTATTTACCTGCATAATGTGATCAATGCTAAAACCTTTTAAGAATTTCTTCATCATCTCTGTATTTGACTCAGATGCTGGCTATGAATTTGATCTTTGCTACACCTCGGTCCTTAAGAGGGCCATCCGCACCCTGTGGTTTGTTCTGGACAGCATCGACCAAATGTGGCTGCCCGTCCACCGGACCTGGCGGCTGAATGAGCGCCACTACGGGGGGCTGACGGGGCTGAACAAGGCTGAGACGGCTGCCAAACACGGAGAGGCTCAGGTCAAGATCTGGAGGCGTTCCTTTGATATTCCTCCACCATCTATGGATGAGGAGCATCCCTTCTATCAAAACATAAGCAAGGTGACAGCCTCCAATAGCTGAGTGTTTTTAACTGACAAAGCACAGGTTTTCATCGCGCAGAGTTCGTCTGCGTGGCTGAAATGCTGCTAACTTCACGAGCCCATTTCTTTTGTGATAGGATCGGCGTTACGCTGATCTGACAGAGGACCAGCTCCCCAGCTGTGAAAGCCTTAAGGACACCATTGCCAGGGCTCTCCCTTTCTGGAACGAAGAGATTGTACCTCAGATCAAGGAGGGAAAGAGGGTCCTGATCGCTGCCCATGGAAACAGTCTGCGGGGCATCGTGAAGCACCTCGAGGGTAAGAAAACATGCCTCTTTGTCAAAAAATGCTTTTAAACCAGCTGAAGTAAAGTAGTAACTTACCCCAAAATTACGGTGCGCAGCGCTGTGTCTTCTGAATAAATGAAAATGATTTAAAACACAGTTGTTTATACTTTTAGCAGCTCTTTTTATTCCACAGCTGACCTGCTAAAAATGACAGATTTTCTTTTCTGGATCTCTGACAGACGGAC